TTGAGCACCTCCTATTTTTTGTGTATGTGCTAGGAAAAGGTACACTCCCTAACCTTCTTAGCATTTGAATTGGAAAAAGTACTTTTATTGATTTTCATCTAAAAAGAAGCAATTTATTTTTTTCTTTTATTTATATATGACAGTGGAATGCATTACAATTCTTATTACACATATAGAGCACCATTTTTCATATCTCTGGTTGTATATAAAGTATTTTCACACCAATTCGTGTCTTCATACATGTACTTTGTTTTTTTTTTTTTTTTTTTTTTTTATACATGTAGTTTGGATAATAATGATCATCACTTTCCACCATCATTTCTAACCCCATGCCCCCTTCCTTCTCCTCCAACCCTATGTTCCCTCTCCCTATCCCACTATGAATCAGCTTCCTTATATCAAAGAAAACATTTGGCATTTGGTTTTTTGGGATTGGCTAACTTCACTTAGCATTATCTTTAAAAAGGAGCAATTTAAATAAGAAGTGCTTAGTTAGGAAGGTATAACTAGTTTGGAGACAAGCCTGTGAATTTAATTTGTAGTATTCAAGATTTCTCCAAATTATCTGTTCATATATCCTTTAAATGGTGGTGGGAAACTGACCTGTTGAACAGCAGGGCTGTTGTGAAGAGTAATAATAAAGCTAAAGTGTTATTCATATCCTCTTTTAAAAAAATATTTTTTAGTTGTTGATGGACCTTTATTTATTTATTAATCTATATGTGGTGCTGAGACTTGAACCCAGTGCCTCACACATGCTAGGCAAGCGCTCTACCACTGAGCCACAACCTCAGCCCTCATAAACTCTTTATTACTACTATTACTTTCAGTGATTGCTAGATATGTATGAAGTTAAAATTGTGATTTTTGTGGGAGGAGATGGTATTGGAGATTTAACCTAGGGGCAATTTACTACTGAGCCACATTCCCAGCCCTTTTTATTTTTTATTTTGAGACAGAGTCTCACTAAGTTGCTAGGGCATTGCTAAATTGCAGAGACTGGCCTTGAACTTGCAACTTTCTGTCAGCCTCCCAAACCACTGGGATTATACGTTTGCACCAATGCACCCAACTGTAACTGATTTTTTAACCATCTATTTATGGCAAAGTCTAGTAGATAGTAGCCTTCCCCCCCCACCCCCAGTTCTTGCTCTCTTACATTAATTTCTCCATTATGCCTGAATTTTAGGGGTAGATCAAACAGATGAGGATATGGAATGACTGCTACTAAATCAGTAGTGGATCAGACAGCCACAGTCAGTTCTTTTGAGGCCTGTCCTTTTTCCTGAACACAGTACACTTACTGATTTCAGCAGTCGCCTTTTCTTTGAGTTGGGATTTGCTATCATGAAAATAATACTTAGTTGGAGCCACTAAAAGCAACCAGTCTCTTTATTGGGACAATAACTTGCAATACTTTGGCCTTTAAATACAGTAAAAGTTCACGTGACTTTTTATTTTAGTTCAGTTTCTGTCATTTTGCTCCAGCTCTCAGTGCAGAGTATAAATTGACAGGTTAATCTGTGGCCTCAAGTCATCTGTTTAAAAGTCTGAAGTGGAATATATTTTTGGCATCTTATTGTCCATTTAAAAGATAATAAAGAAAAATCTCATGCCTAGACAATTTTCTTCCTCTTAGGAACTTCTATCCAGGGCTGGGATTGTGGCTCAATGGTAGAGTGCTTGCCAAGCACATGGAGGGGCATTGGATTGAATCCCCAGCACCACATAAAAAACTAAATAAACAAAACACAGGTTATTGTATCCATCTACAACTAAAAATATTAGGGGAAGAAAAAAAAAAAAACTTCTAACCAAACAGGAATCTAAGTTTACTTTGTTTTCTAGGCTTTAATTTTGAAGGCATTTCCTGCACCAGATGTGTTCTAAAACTTGTTGAAGTATCATCTGCAAAATCATTTGTAGTTGGGTTACTTTGGGAGAGGGATTTGTTGTTGTTTTGTTTTTTCTTTATAAATTATTCAGTTTTATCTAGGAGGTATTTTAGTATCAATAGCTATCATGGCCCATAAACTATTTTCAACACCTTCAAATTGATCCTACTGAAAAGTACCTTTTTGGGGGGTGGGGTACAGGGAGGTATGGAGAATTGTACCCAGGGGAGCTTTACCACTGAACTACATCCACAGCTCTTTTTATTTTAAAACAGAATCTCACTATGTTGCTGAGGCTGCCCTCAAATTTGCAATCCTTGGGCCTCAGCCTCTCAAATCATTGGGATTACAGGAGTATGTCACCACATCCCGCCTATATAAAGTAGCTGTTAAAGTTATTTAAATTATAACTTAAAAACTGGTTTTTAGCTGTTTTGACTTCAGGCCCCATCAGACTACTAGATCCCAAATCTTGCTTTCTGTGTGGACATACACAGTGTCTGACTGTGGATGTCTTTGTCTTGAGAATTTAGTTGTTTGCTACAAATTGAGCCTTTGAATTCTTTAGGTTCTTTGTCCTCCTCATTTGAAAACTATTCAGATGATGTTGCCCAAAGGGCTCAGAGAGAAACACCATGACTGACTTTTGGGAAATTAGTAAGCAGTAGGGCTATTTTTAGCTCTTACTCCTTGCAAACATTTCCTTTTGTTCTTTAGAAGACATTGTTGATCTATTCATTCATCAGCTGTGCCCCCCCCCCAACACACACACATAACAACAAGACTTCAGGGTAGAATAAGCCCTCTCTACTCTGTGCAGCATAACTGTATTGATTCCTATTTTATCCAATTTTGACTCTAACTCATAAGTTACTCATTTGTTTGCATTTTTCTGGATACTGAATAGCATCCCCCCAATACACCACACAGACACACACTTTTGTTGTTATTTGGGGTTGATTTGACTGAAAAATATTCCCACAAGCAGGGTATATAAAGTTTATGGTTTTGTCATACTGTATGGTGATAACCTATGGTGTGATTTACCATTATTTGCTCTGTTAGTACCTATCTTAATAAATGTATAAAATTATGCAGTTAGTAGTGCAGAATCCCAGCTCTCAGGGTATATGCCTGGGGTATGAAGGCTGGCTTCTATGTCTCAGTCTTATGTTTGATCTTTCAGAAGTCTTCCAGTGTTCGAAAGAAGCCCACTGAAACTTCACTTTAATTCTTCATATAAGGGGGAAGTTTGATGTTAGACTTTTCTGTTTTAGATCTCTTCTAAGAGGACTTAGTCATTTTGCATATTTTAATTTAACACTTCTCTTTCCACTTTTCCCTAAGAGAGAGATGCACTGTAGCATTTGTGGTAAATATTATAGGTTATGGAGTCAAATCACCTATTTCAAAGCCTTGTTCTGCTGTTAATGTCTATGTACCTCAGTTGCCTTATCTCAAAAATGAAGATAATGGTACTGCTTCATACAGTTGTTTGGGGATTTACATCAGATAATCCATGTAAAGAGCCTAACCTAATGCCCAACTTAGTAAAGTCTCAATGCATGTTGGTTGTAATAATTATTGTATAACATCATTTTATCTGTAATATAGGGTATAATCTTAGAATACCAGAATGAGGCAAAGTACTCCATTTCTAGGGACCCTTGCCTCTGTCCCTGTAAGCATTTTTTATTGGAATGTCCTCAACAGAGGTGGCCTAGTTCCAGAGCCTAGTGAATTTAGTTTCCCTTAGCCCTCCAGTATTTGCAGCTCTTCATATCTAGAATCAGCACAATTATAATAGGAAGTCAAGCAAAACGTGTTTTTGCATAAAGAGGGGAAGGCAGAATGTGTGATGGCGTTCTGACATCTGTGCTTCTGCCCTGGGCCAAAAGCAGAATGGTTGTTTGCTGCTGATTTGGAATCCCATCTGCTGCCTTCTCAGTGCTTAGGTCCCTCTTCTTGTCCCCCCATGTAGAGCCCCAGGGATGATGAAGTCTGGGAAAGAAGGTTGAAATATAAGACATGAAAGGGAAAGTGAGATAGAGGTTCGGGAGAAGATGCGCAGAATGACAGACCCCCACTCTACCGATGACCCACTCATGGCAATGCTGTCTTTCTCTGCCAGTGACAGTTTTACAAGTGTGCTGTAGACAGTGTGAAGGACACGCTAGCCTGAAAAAATAAATAAAAACAAAGGGGGGGGGGGCTAGCCTGTTCCAGTACAGCTCCATCTTTGTGCTTGAGAGCTTTTATGACCTCTGATTCAAGTATTTATTAAACTAAGTTTTTTAAAACTCTTTTAAACATTTTTATTTTTAAGCTCTTAGCCCAGGCCTTATATTTTTACAATGGGTACTTTGACTTTTGAATATATTCTTTCTGTTTTCTTAACAGCATTTAACTCACCCCACTGCCAACTAATTTACATACTATCTCCCACTGAAGTAACTTCTTATTTTGAGGTATCATCTTCTGCCCATCCTGAGAGGTCCCAGTCAGGCTGTCCACAACATGATTATCTTAGAACCACTGATTTCAAGGGTAGGACACAAAGCATCACACACACACACACACATACACACACACAGTGTCAGTCGAGAATGTTGTAACTTAACTCTTTAATGACTTAAGCTTGAGTTAGCTAACAGTAGAGTGATGAGTTCCCCAGAAAGGCATGTATTGAGTAAACACAAGTAAGCAACTTATGTTTACACAAGGAGCTAAGGAGATTACTTGTCTTATGATATCTTTATTTTTAATGGAAAATTCTTTGAAACTATATTTTTATTTTCAAAATTTAACGTTTGCTTTTAACTTAGACCTATTTTTTTTTTCCTGCTTAGGATTTCCTAGTGATTGTTCCAAGTTTGTCTATAGTTCAAACGAATGGAATAATACTTTAATATGGAGTATTCAGAGGCTGTTTTTCATGTTGTTTGGCTACTGTATTTTTACTTCAGTTTGAGGTTATTTCAACACTTCATTCACAAACACAGTTGGCTCTGATTTTGCCTTAAGTTTTAGTGTTCCTTAATTATAATTCATTGCATATGTAGTTTTTATGCTAGGCTTTACAAAGTACCTCTGTTTGCATTCTAGACTGAGTTTGCACGATTTAGTGGAACAAATGTGGAAACTGACTTTGTAGAGGTACCATCACAAATGCTTGAAAATTGGGTGTGGGACATTGATTCCCTCCGAAGATTGTCAAAACATTATAAAGACGGAAGCCCTATTACAGATGATCTGCTTGAAAAGCTTGTTGCTTCTAGACTGGTCAACACAGGTATGAGTTGTTATTTTAGAAAAGGAAAATAAATGAGAATAGCTTAATGTAGAATTCTTGGCCTCTTCTTCTGTAGGACTTATGTTCCCTTTTATATTGATGGTATCCTGAGGGTGCTAATATGCAGAGAGAGAACTCTAAATATATTGGAAGAGGAAATCATGGGATTATCTGGGGCGGGGGAAACAATCTCCTTTTAAATCTTAAATTCATTAAGATATCTTGGTCCATTTGATGATATGTACTACTGGAATCAGTGTTTGAAATCTCAGATCTTGTAATGTTAGAACACATAGTTCTCTCTTTTCCAAAATATGGTTAAACATTCTTACATCTAGGTCTTCTGACCCTCCGCCAAATTGTTTTGAGCAAAGTTGATCAGTCCCTCCATACCAATACATCGCTGGACGCCGCAAGCGAATATGCCAAATATTGCACAGAAATTCTAGGTGTTGCAGCTACTCCAGGTATGTAAATCCTGTAACTTGAGTTTATTTTGCTTGTGAAGGAAGTGTAGGGCATACTCCTCACACTGCAGGGGAGGTGAAGTTATTCAAAAAAAGCTAAATTTATTTATTTCTATAATAATCAGGCCATGACTTTCAGATGAGCATACTGTGTCCCTGTGAGTTACCCTGTCCAGATGTGCTCAAAGGAAAGGTGGCTCCAGATTCACAGCATTTTAGTGTAATCAGGCATGAGCAATTGGCCTCCACCCAGGAGCTGAGAGAGCCATTCGCATTTGGCAGCACCGGTCTGGCTTCTCCTTCCCTGTATGTACCCTGACTTCCCTCTGATTTTCAGTAAGAAATTGGCAGAGGGGTGTTTTTAGAGAGAAACTTGAATTTCTGCTTTGTTTCTGATTCTGAGTTCAATTAAGGCACTGGACTCACTGATAGTTTCTAACGTGAAACATGGGATTTGTTAGAGGATATGTGAGTTTGTGTGTCTATGTGTCTGTGTGTTGGTTTTGTTTTTGTGGTGCTGGGGATTGAACCCAGGGCCTCATGCATGCTAGGTGAGTACCTAGTCCCTACGTGTTTATGTTTTAAGCCAGTATATAGATGTACTTTGATATGTAGTAAGATGACTTTTTTTCACCTAGGAAATTGTTACTAAAATGAATCAGCCACATTTATGGAGATAATAAAGATAAGAACAGTCATTTGAGTCATTCTAGCCTCCTTACTTCCTGTGGTGATCTGTTTAGAGTAAACCATAGAGCAACTTTGTGCCTCCAGACACTTTAACAAAATCCTTCTTAAAGTAGTCCTTAAGATAGACTGACTCCGTAAAGCTTTTTTCACTTTATAAGAGTTCTTTTTCAGACAACTTAAAACAAGTACCATTTTATTCTGAGACATTTTAGACATTAAAAGGTATGGCAACCGGGTGCCTATAATCCCAGCAGTTAAGGAGGTTGAGGTAGGAGGATCATGAATTTAAAGCCAGACTCAGCAAAAAGCAAGGCACTAAGCAACTCAGTGAGACCCTGTCTCTAAATAAAATACAAAAAAGGGCTGGGGAGGTTGCTCAGAGGTCCAATGGCCCTTAGTTCAATTCCCAATACCCCCCCCCCCCCCAAAAAAAAAAAAAAGGTGTGGCAAAGGGCCACAGGTATAGGTCAGTGAATAGAGAGCTTATTGCGTGTGCAAGGCCCTGGGTTCCATCCCCCCACCACACACACACACACACACACACACACAAATGTAAAAAGTAGCATTAACATTAGAGTATTTTTAAGACACATAGGTTTCTATATCTAAGGAATAAGAAAGGGTTGAGCAAGAGGTGGGTGTGGACAAAGCCCCTGAAACTATTGTTAGGCATTCCAGAGCTTGGGTGAAACCAGCTCTAAGGTTGATCCATTGATAGGAGAGAAGTTTGTAAACATCTTGGCCAAGGGCACACTTAAACCCAGGAGTACTAGAGGTGAGATCTTATCATTCACTCTCTCCTCCCACAGCTGGACTCCCCAAAGGGAAACTTGAGCTGGCTGAAACCTGGTAATTAACCCTTTTATCACATTGATTGAAATGTATCTTCTTTTTTTAAAGGCACAAATATGCCAGCTACTTTTGGACATTTGGCCGGGGGATATGATGGCCAATATTATGGATATCTCTGGAGTGAAGTGTTTTCCATGGACATGTTTTACAGCTGTTTTAAAAAAGAAGGGATAATGAATCCAGAGGTATTGTGTTTTTCTTTTTCCTTTTGTAATTTTTTAGTTGCCCTTGCTTCTTTAAATTCTAGTACAAAATGTTTACGACATCTAGACTTTACAGCAAGAGGTATGGTAACAGCTTTTAACTTTAAGGTCTTGCATCTTCCCAAATCATCATACATCATTAAGTTACAGTGTACAAGTGATTAACTCTAATTCTGTAGGTTTAAAAAAAAAACCTACTGCATTTTCTTGCTTATTAACATTCCAATATATTGCATAATTAAAAACTCAAAGCCTTGTTTATGCATCTGAGAATTTATAGCTGCTAGTTTTGACATGTGCTTTACAGTATTTTTGTTTTATAGAAGGCTGGGAAAGAAAGGTAAACTTCTTGGTGATGTAAATGGTCTCCCTTTGTTTTGATATTCTTTACAAACTTTCTTTGTACATTTTCTGTGGGAGGCACCCTTTTTCGGTGGCTGGCGTACTCCACCTACTACACAGTTTGTGACCTAAATGCCTTTAGGTAACTGAAGCTGCTTCATTAGCCTGAGCTGTTCCATCCTATGCTTAGTGAGTTGACTGCCAGGTGGCTGCCAGCCAAACCTTCCTGTGTTACAGCCCCCTGGCCTCATGCTTACTGAAGACTCAGCTGTCAGATTATTTCTAAGGCTGAAATATTTTCCAGTATGTTTTTAAATTCTGTTTATTCATAAATCAGAAGAACAAACTCAAAATCAGACTCTCTGTATTTCAATTAACTGATTTGTGCTCTGATCTCTTTTGTTTCTGAATTGCAAAGTACCTCTCTCTCTCTCTCTCTCTCTCTCTCACACACACACACACACACACACACACACACATATTAAATACATTGGTGTAATTTAGATCACTATTCCCTCAGTGCTTTTTCTCCTAAAGGAAAAAAAAAAAAACTGTATGGAACCCACATCCTATATACTCACTATTCTTTCCAAGCACTTTACCTCCCATTCCACCCCACCAGTCTGATAGATCCCTTTAAGTCTCCTTCCATTAAGTAGCCAGTCCATTTACAAAGGTCAGTTTCTAACTGTTGTTCTCAGGCATTCTCACTTCTGCATGATCATCAGCCAGTACCTAGCCTTTCATTAATCTGCATCTCATGAAAAGATGGTGCCTTTGGAATTCAGCATCCTAGAAGATTGTATGACTTCATTAACCTACACTACTACAAAAGTTATAGTCTCCGATCTGAACTGATCACTCAGTGATTTTCTGTGGTCCTACTCCTTTCCACCTCAGTAATTTCCTCCAAGTCCCCATCAGCTTACTTCTCTGTCAATAGAGGAGATCCTCTGTATTAAGAAAGTTGGGCTGGGGTAAAACTCAGTGGTAGAGCACTTGTATAGCATTTGTGAGGCCCTCAGTTTGTTAGGCCAGCACTGATTTAAAAAAAAGAAAAGAAAAGAAAATTAAGATCATTGAAAGTGAATACCTTAGTCTTTCTTTCTTTTTACAGGCTGAGTGTCCCTTATCGAAAATGCTTGGCATCAGAAGTGTTTCAGTTTTGAAGTTTTTCCAAATTTGGGATATTTGCATAGACTTTAGTGATGGAACTAATTTGAAAATCTGAAATTCAAAATGCTCCTCAATCCAAAACTTCAAAAGTCATGTCATCACTCAAGAAGTTTTGGATGTGGGAGCATTTTGGATTAAGGATTTCTAGGTTAGGGAAACTCATCCTATACTTCAAAAATACTTATCTCCCTCCTCCTGTCTTAACTCCAAGCCTTACTGGTTTGTCATCTTGGGGAAAAAACTTGTTGCCAACTCTGGTCACTTCAGTCAGTGCTACTGTTCCATTGTTCTTTTTACAGCCTAATTTCTTGATGTGAGAAACAATCTTTGAAGACCTCAGTTTCCTGGCTTTACCCCCACCACCTGAACTGGGAAGTTACCTGCCTTCCCACCAACTACAAGGGCCTCAGCCCCTTTTTCCTTGCCCCCTGCTTCTGGTTATCCCTCTTTGCTCACAGCTCTTAGTAATGCAGTCAACCCCTGCCTCACCTCCCAGTACTCCCTGTGTCACACAGCTTTGTGCTCCCATAGCACATTTGTTTATTCTGTTTACACCTAAAGCATTGCCTTCTTTGTCTTTACCTTTCAAAATTCCTACCATTGTTAAAAGCTCCACTCCAAAAATCACTCATTTATGAAATCTTCCAGATCATCTAAACCAAAAACCAAAAGTGATTTTTCCATCCTCATAACATGAGAGTAGCTTTGGCATAGAGGAAGGGTTTCAAATACTAAATATTAAACATTCTTAAATATTTAATATTAACTATTACATAGATTGAAATTTTTAATTTTAAAATATGATTAGAGATGGGTGCAGCAGTGCAGGCAGGTAATCCCAGTGGTTCGAGAGGCTGAGGCAGGAAGAGGATCATAAGTTCAAAGCTAGCCTCAACAACTTAGGAAGACCCTGTGTCAAAATAAAATATAAAAAGGGTTAGGGAGACTGGGGGTTGTGGCTGAGTAGAGTGCTTGCCTACCATGCATGAAGGTTCAATCCTCAGCATCACATAAAAATAAAATAAAGGTATTATGTCTACTTACAACTAAAAAGTGAACATTTTTTAAAAAAGGGGTAGGGATGTGGCTCAGTGGTTAAGCACCCCTGGGTTCAATCCCTGGTACCAAAAATAAATAAATAAATAAAATATGATTAGAAAAAAGTACATCAGCTGGGCGTGGTAGCTCATGCATGTAATCACAGCAACTCAGGAGGCTGAGGCAAGAAAATTACAAGTTCAAGGCCAGCCTCAGCAACTTAGTAAGATCCTGTCTCAAAAGAAAAAAATTAAAAGGGCTTGGGGATGTAGCTCAGTAGTAAAGGTCTCCTGGGTTCAGTCCCCAGTTCTAAAAAAGAAAGAAAGAAAAAGAAAAATGCTTATCAAAATGTTGGCAGTAGCTATCTTTGGGTGGTAAGTTTATCAGCAATTGTTAACTTTTTTTCAATACTTTTTAATGGAACATTTTCTCAGTTTTACGTTGTGCCTAGTTGTTTTAGAAATTGAAAACTAAATAGCCACACATGGTAGCACACACATGTAATCTTAGGGACTCAGGAGAGTGAAGCAGCAGAATTACAAGTTCCTGGCAAGCCTCAGTAACTTTGCAAGACCCTACCTCAAAAGAAAAAATAAAAAGGGCTGGGAGTGTAGCTCAATGGTAGAGCACCTCTGAGTTTAATCTCCAGTACCAGAAAAAAAAAGGAAACTTTTATGGTGTAAAGTAATGCTCAGTTGGTCTGAAGTCATAGAAATTAGAGCAATCATAGTACATTATGCCGATTTTCTTGTCTCAGGGTCTCACCCTCCCTAATGAGTATTTGGATCATTTTGGAAAGATAGCAGGGTCCCCTTCAAGGAGTTAGTCAGTGCTATTAGGGCTAGTAGAAATCATTGGTTACACAATACAGAAGTGTATCTGCAGGCCTTCTCTTTTCGTTTTGTTTGGCTTTTGAACTGGGGATTGAATCCAGAGGTGTTTTAGTCCTTTTTATTTTTTTATTTTGAGACAGGGTCTCAGCAGTTGCTGAAGCTAACTTTGAACTTGGGATCCATTACCTCAGACTTCAGAGTCACTGGGATTACAAGTATGCACCACTGCACCCAGCTGCAGGCCTGCTCTTATAACCTCTTGCTATTCTGTAGACAGATGCCAGGATCTGCTCTGAGAACTGTTTCCAATCCTATCAAGCTAATCATTGAGAAAACACTAACAGGAGGATCAAATAGAAACCCACAACATTCTGAATACCAAATGGTAGCTGTAGAATATTTTATGGTACAGTTGTTTTTATTCTGCTTTGAAGGCCTGAATCAGAGTATTATAACTGGCCACTTATCTATCATAGCCTAACAATTATCTGTGTTTTTATCTGTAGTTTTTACATAATTCTTAATTATATGTAGCTATCACATTTTAACTGGTTAATTTACTAAATATTACCTAAAGTAATGGAGAAGTTGTCTTATTATCAAATATAACTTTTACTTCCTCAACTGTTCTCTTAAATAACTGTGGAAGAACTATTTGTGATTAATACTTTTCCAGCAAGCACTTGACACTGTGTAAGGATATCTTTTTTTAGTTGTTGTTGGAACTTTATTTATATGTGGTGCTGAGAATCAAACCCAGTGCCTCACACATGCTAGGCAAGAGCTCTACCACTGATCTACAACCTCAGCCCTTCAAGGATATCTTTAAGGTCACCAAATATAATTTCAAAATTCAGCAGCTAATCACAGGGTTGAAAAAAATGGGGGTGCATTTTAACTAGGGCCATTTCTTTTTATAAGGCAACTTCATTGTGGGAAAATTTCCTAAGAGGTATAATAGACATTGTGGATTCAAAGGCAATTTTATTGTTGAGCCAGAATTTTCTTCCTACTCTTTTGCATTTAGAGAAATTGCTAAGCTTTGTTCCTTCCATCAGTGAAGGGAAGTATAACCAAGTGTCACTTCAGAAAGATCAAGATAGTTAGATGGAACTATTATATTTTAGTCTGCAACATCAAAAGAAAGTACCTAGATCTTACATGCAATAACATATCCAGAAACCTGAAGAATTTTAGTTAAACATGGAAAAATTGCCTGCAGAGAATGTATATTATCAAGCTAAATGTGCCAGTCCTTTTCAAACAGAATCCTAGGCCCACTTCCTGCTATAATGTGTCACCAAGAAAGAATATGGCACTTTCTCTCTCTTGGAGATTCTTAAAAGTCTGCCATCCAAATTTTATGTCTGCTTCTGCTCTTCTGATTTATCACCCAACAGCTCACTTTTGTCTTTTACCTTACCTTTTTCTAACAGCCTTGGGTTTTGCCTGATTTAAGGAACAAAAGAAGATGGGATTGGTTTCTTCTTGAATATTTTCTTTTTTTTTTTTTTTTTTTTTTTGATCAGGGGGCCCAACCCCCGGGGGGTTTTCTCCCAGACCCACACCCCCAGCACTCTTTTGCATTTTATT